CACTTTAGGAAAATGGATAATTAACTGTTGTTCGTTTTATGTATGTTTTATGTATGTATGTCATATATGTACTTATATATGCATTTTTATGTAAGTCACCCTGAGCCTGCCTTGGTGAGGAGGGCAGGGTATAAATTGAATAAATAAATGAATGAATGAATGAATGAATGAATGAATGAATAAATACATTCTTTGCATCTGTTTTCACTGTGGAAAACATGGTGTACAACTCACAAAACAGCCATTGCATCTGAAAGCCAGTAATAAGCAAACTTGCACATACACAGATACCTGTGAGCACATCAGACTTGCTCACAGTTTTGTGAGTGTCCCCGTCCAACATGCCAAAGAATTCCAAGGGATTTCCATGTGTCCCATGTGTTCCAGTTGTAAAAAATAGACTTGTGCACTGACACACAGAGGTGCCCATTCCATGCCTATCCCACTCCCCATAAATTCCACTCTCAGAAAACCATAAATTTATCTTATCTTTTTTTGGGGGGAGGGAGGGGGAGTAACATGTCTCAGGGTATTGCTCTTTAAAGAGAAGATGTGCCACACATTACCCAAGGAGGTTTGAGAATTAGCAGTCAGACTGGAAGGTGCTGTCTTGATTAGTAAATTGTCCTCAGCTCTACCTCTGATGTTGGTCAAGGACAAGGGGCCTTTGCAACAGAGGAAAGACTTGTGGGAAATGGATGACTAACCCTCTCATAGCCAATCATTTCTCCTTGGCAACTCAGCCTCCATAAATTCAGTTTTTATAGTCTCTCTTCCCCAGCTGGGTCTGAACCAGCACATAAACTGACTTGGGGAGGGGGGGGGGGCGTGACTTGAAAAACCAAGGAATCTGTGCTTGACAAATCAAGGAACCATCTATGCATAGGTATTAAGGCAGAAATGTCATGCAAATCTGCAGGTGTCCCATTGGTCTGACTAGGATGACAACATCTCCTTATTGGAAGGCGGCTGTTTCTATTAAATGTGATGGGTGTGAAGGTATTTGCATGCCAGGGCTGTCCCTCAGTCCTCAGGGAGGTTTTAAGAAAGAAGGAGAAGGTCACAGCTAGTTATATTCTTCCCTCATACATTCATACTCACACTTGACTCTCATCATGGCCTGGGCCCTGTTTCTTCTCACCATTCTCAGTTACTGGTCAGGTAAGGGTGCAAAGAATCCCTTTTACATTGCTTTAGAGCAAAGCTATTCCAATTTTATTTTTACTTTAAACATACAATGCTGTTGTATGTGAACTTATGCTTTTTGCATTTCCATAAAGGTGCCAGTTCACAGCCTGCTTTGACACAGCCTCCCTCACAGTCTGTTGCTCCTGGACAAACAGTTAAACTCTCCTGCACTGTCAGCAGTGACAAAAATGGCTTCTGCTGGATTCAACAGAGATCTGGACAGAGCCCCCACCTCATACAGTGTGCAGGTGGTAGCAGGGGAGATGGAGTCCCGGACCGGTTCACTGCCACTGCTTCTGGGAATGTTGGCTCTTTAACCATCACGAACACCCAGCCGGAAGATGAGGCTGATTATTACTGTTGCATGTGGTATAGCAGCGGTAGGATGTTCCACAGTGGTAAAACTTGATGAGGAACTGAGACAAAAAGCTTCTCTCTTTTTCCTCAGAGTGGGGAACCAAGCATAACTATCAAGTGGTCTGTGGCTGGAGTGGCTTTAATCACAGAATTACCTCATAGGGAGAGAAAGCCCTCCTGATCCAGATTCCTCCTCCTAGGCACCAACATCCTTCCAATAGCCACGTCCAAATACAGACCTGGCCACGCAGTCCACATTAGAGGGCATCAATGAGCTGAGTGTGAGGCCCCTCTAGAAAGGTAAAAGTGAGCAAAGAAGCTCTGGCAGGTTCCTGAGATGTATTATCCTCCTTTTCACTGCTTTTTACTTGTGAATATTGT